GCCGGAACGAGTCATTCAACAGTTAATTATTATTATTCAACTGAAATTTATAATATTATATATTTTTATTTATTTAATAACATATAAATATTGTATAAAGTGTTTTATAAAAAAATTATACTAAAAATTTATTTTCATATCATTACCTTATCTTTACATTGAATTAGAATCAAATCAAACGCACCTCTGATATAAAATTTGTTTCATTAACGTTCAAATACTTTATTCCAAAAAGAAAAAAAAAAATTAACGTTCAAATACTCACAAAACCCAAAGGCCTCATCATTTTTGAAAGCCTTGGGCCAACCCATTGTTTGATCCATTTACTTAGGCCCTGCAAAAACTGTTATTCCTCTTGACTGTGCCGAATTCTCCATGTCCCCACATCCATGGTAAATCAGGTTTTATTTGAAATGTTTGTACACAGGGCACTTTTTCACGTACCACTTTTATGTAAAAATATAAGTTTATTACAATTAATTAGTTTTAAATAATATTTTATATATTCTTAGTAATTTAAATTATTACTCGCATTTTACTTATTTTTACAATAGTAGATATAAAAATCTAGAACAATCCCAAATGGGCCTCAATTTGAGTGAATTTCTCCAGTTTTATTTATCTCTGTCTGTGCTGTATTATTTATGCTTGTAAGACCTTATTTATGAGACAAGACTTTTCTTATCTTCGTAAATGCCATATGGCTTTCTGAAGGTAAATAAATTTTACTTTATTAAAAAAATAAATTAAAAATCAACAATATTTACTGGTTGTTAAAAGAAGGCAAAAAGGGCAAATCAACCCCTGTACTCATTAAATGGTGGCAAGTTAGCCCCTTAAGTAAAAACAGACGCAAATCAACCCCTCACTCTACTCATCAAATGGTAGCATATCATCCCTTATTTCATGGCTGACGTCAGGAAAGTGTTAAATTTGACGGGGAGAGATAGTTTTGGTGTGGTCCAATGCTTACATAGCCAGAATCAGCCCTTATACTTATCAAATGGCAATAAATCAGTCCCTCAAGTAAATCAGACGCTTTTGAACCCTTGTACTCTTCAAATGGTAATCTCTCCAATCTCCCTTTTAAGCACTAAAAACCTATCATAAGAAACATGCAAGGAAAAAGGGAAAGAAAAAAAAGAAAAGAAAAGAAAAAAAGAGAGAAAGCTTTCATGAGATATCGGCTACGCTCTCCTCACCAAGATCAACTCAAGAGCCAATTACTATTAGATGTAACCTGCCGGTCTCAAGACAAGATTTTTGCACCCTATGCCTTTTCAAAATTGGCTCAAATTTCCTGCATAGATAAACACAAAAGGTTTTAGATCTGGACACTTATACCTTGGGTAAAAGCAAATGGAAGTGTTTCTCTTTTTCCTTTTTTTTTTTCTTTTCTTTTTAAATATATCTTGTAAAACAGATATCATCTAATGAAGGTGGACCTTCAATATTAGGAGGTATTGTTAGTGTTTTATAATTTGAAATAGTTAGGATTGTAAAACACTTTTTTGTATCTTAATTTACAAAAAAAAAATATTTCTTCCATTAATTTTTAATGGTTTTAGTTTAATTTTTTAATTTTTTAAACATGAATTTCATATAAAAATTTAAAATATTATATAAATAATAATTAAAATTTTTTAATTAAATAAACATATTCAACAAAACTTCATATAGGAAAAAAAAAACTTTTCAATTATTGTTTATATAAATTGTTAAATTTTTATTTGAAATGTATATTTGAAAAATTAAAAAATCGAATTAAAACTAATAAAAATGATCGAAGGGAGTATGTAAGTGAAATGATGAGCCTTCAAGATTACCTTTCTGCCAAGAAAAGAGAATAGCTCCCCTGATGAAGCTTCCCATCATTTTAATAGCTTGAATACCTAAGGAAACATGAGCTTTCCAAAGAAAACCTACTCCTATGTTGGGTTCCATGTATGAAAGAAAACTTGTGAAAATTTTGAAAGTTTTCATGTCTTGCCAATTAGGCTTGGTGGTATGATTTATAGTAGAAGACTTTTATGATGTTACCAAAATAAGGGTAAGAGATTTCAAACTAACTGAAATCTAAGAATGCATCTTCACGTGATTATGCACTTTTAACAATTCATTTATACACGTGATAATGTAAGTATATTATTGATTTTGTGTCATTACTTCACGTGATAATGTGAGTATTATTGATACATTTGCAAACAATAATATCTTTACTAAAAATGATTTAGAAAAAACTTTTTTGTATAATTTTATTTGTATGTTTGGCTTGAGAGGAATGGATGGAAGGAGAGGGAGAAGAAGATTTTTTTACCAATCAAATTATAATGTCTTATAAATATTATAATGTGATTGATTTATAGTTGAAGATTTTTATGAAGTTACCAAAATAAGAGTACGAGATTTCAAACTAACTGAAATCTAAGAATGCATCTTCACGTGA